CAAATTTCAATTGGTCAGTGCCTTTGAAAATGATACTAACACAGGAAGGAAATCCACTTGACGATCTACATAAGATGATTACTTTAACAAGGAAAAAGGTAAGTTTGAATAGCCTATCAAGACTAGAGAGAGTATGAACCATCATCATGAATTTTTATTTTGAACCAAGTTTTTTCGAAGAGTCATTGGTTTCTAAGAATAAAATTACGGCACTTGTATTTTGACTGCTAGCTGCATTTGCAAGCCTTGAGCTTCAAAGATGGCTGGCCCAAAGTAGATCAAATAGACGAACTTTTTGTAGATCCATGGAGTGTTTCACTGTGATTGCCTGACTAGCCCCTCTGTCGAAGTTTCTCGACGACTGCAAAATAATTTTGACGTAAGTCTTTATGCGTTCTAAACTATTTTTACTCTGCCATAAATGTTTCAGTGCCAATAAATGCTCTGGTAAAATGCTGTGATTTCAGGTTATAGTCACGATTTTCTGTGTTGAGTACTGCTGTAATACACTTCAAGAATACAGATCAGCGATAAGGAACATTGCCGATCAGGTCAAACCCGGAGGTATGTATCGTTTATACAGGGTGCAGAATACCCCTTTGATTCAACGGAATAGACGGTTGTAAGGGCGACCGCTCGCACCCACGCCGCATCTGCGTCTCTCCCGCGCGCATGCTCTCTAATCTCTGGCCTTATCTAGGTCACGAAACCCCGCCTCCCAGCCGCCTATCTTATTGCTGTAACTCTCTTACCACCAAGTCTTTTGCTTAGCTTCTGGTACCATTCGGTAGACTTCAACTTAGATGTACAGCAGGCGCGAAACACATCGCTGTTCATCATTCAGGAACTATGGTAGAAACTTTGACAGGGTTTTAGCCATTAATGGCTACATTTTGCCCCAGAGCTGATGATCGACTGGATGAAAGCCTTATCATCAGGCTAAACTGAGTCGCTAAGTGTATGAACTTCTTTTATGAAAATGAAACTTTTTTCGTAAGTTACGCCAGGTAAACCGCAATGGCGTTTTTTCAGTGTTTCTCAAAAATGTAATAAAAACTAGAAAAGGCTGTTCAATGAAACCAGCGCGCTAAAAACACTGCTTTACATTTCTCCAGCTTTTAGAATTTTTTATAACGCTTTTCGTAATGGCATATGCTGAAAGTTCCTACCGTAATCCTAAAATAATTAAGAGTGAAGCGTGACTCGCCCCTCCGTATGTTTAAGTTGAATGCACTATATGGTACTTGAAGCTAAGCAGGAAATTTTATGGGAAGAGAATTAGTAACAGTCAAAATGTATGAACCTGCTTTTGGGACACCCTGTATTTTACAGAATTAAAGACAGGGTGTTGCGCGAAATTACGTTGATTCACAAAAAGCACAATTGGGGAACAAGCCGCATGCTTCTTACGTAATTGTTTTTGCAGATTTCGTACGCTGTTTTGCAGTTATAAATTATTCCTAGCGAAACCTGCGCTTTGAAATCGTTTATTGTACAAAGTAAGTCACTGTTTCAAGATGACTTTTTTTTGTAGAAATAAAGCGCTTGTCTTGACCCTTTCTTTTGAATACCCAATCTCCGGCGGCGGTCACAGGATTTCACCATTGGGAGGGCGCACTCCGAAAGAAATTGGGATGATTTCTAAAAATATTGCCCACCCGTGACTCCGAATATTTAGAAAAAAGGGGCTTGGGGGCAGCCACGCCCCCAAAGATTGTTTTCACAAGGCTGATTCAATTTTTTTGAATACGCAGTATACGCACCAAAAAAATGAAACTTGGTTTCAATCTTGAAGAAGCATTATGCACCGGACACGTTTTTGGCCGGTTCATTATACGAACACCTCAATCAAAGCTCTTTTTTCGCTTAA